GGGGCCTGGAGGTAGCCGGGCCGGCGGCGGGGACGGGAAGGAGTCGGGTGGGCGGGGCCGGGAGGAAGCGGGCGCGAGGCCGTTGGCGCGGCCGTTGGCGAGGCAGGAGGGTGCCATCTGCACTGGCCTCTGCGAACAGCGCCGCTCCAGGGCCCTGCGCCCTCCTGGGACCGGGTTCCTGCTCCTGTCCGCACCCCGACCCCCACGTGCCCTCGAGGCCACAGCCTGGGCCTGCCTCGCGCAGCAGTCCAGGTTCCCAGCGCACCTCTCTGGAGCGCCTGGCGGCTCCCAGCCCCTCCCGTCCTTCGGGCAGGGCGGGAGGTCAGATCAGAGGAGGCTGGGCTTTGCCGGCAGTTGAGTGCCTAGAAGGCAGCGCGCTGTCCGGACGCCAGGGCCGACCCTGAGTGGGAGAGACGCGTGGGGTGCTCTGATCTCCTGTCTCCAAGCCGTCCGCAAGGCGCCCGGCGCCGAGCCAACCCGTGCTGACGCTGGCGTCTCTGGTCAACTCCGAAACACTCTCCCCAGAACAGGGCCCTGGCCTCCTGATCCCCGCGGCTAGCAGAGCCGCGTGACGGGAGCTGGAGCTCCAGTGTGGCCTGCGGGCACCGGGACCCCACGCTGTCCGCTATGCTGAAGGGCCCGCGGCGGGCCAGGAGCCAGGCCCGAGTGACGCGGGGTTCAGATTCACCCGGCTGAAGCCCTGGCCAGCGTGGGGACCCCTCTGCCTCTTTGCTGGGTTCGGAAGCACGGTCTGCGCCTCGAGGTCCCTGCATGAAGCCAGCAGCTTGGCCGCCGGGCCCGGGGGGACTGAGTTCTCATGCCTGGGTTCCTTTTCTGTCTGTCCACACCCGGTTACTGTTTTCCTATTTCCGGTTTCTTTCTTGCAGAACTGGAGATTGAATCCAGGGCCTTCACACTGAGCTCCATCCCCAGCCCTTTATTCTTTTTCATTTTGAGATCTGGTCTGGCTAAGTCACTAAGTTTCCCAGGGTGAGCTTGAAATTGGGAACTTCCTGCCTCAGCCTCCCAGAGTGCAGGGATTACAGCCATGTGTCACCATGCCCAGGTGATTTCTTATATTCTTTTTGCTTTGTTTTGCTTTTTGAGACAGGGCCTCACTATGTAGCCCAGGCTGGCCTTGAACTCAGTATGCGGTCCATGCTGGCCTCAAGCTCTACAATCCTCCTGCCTTAGCTTCCTGAGTACCTGGGGTTACAAACAGATACTCATGCCTGCCTCCCTCTTTTTATTTATTTGTTTATTTATTTATTTTTGTCTTTTTTTTGTTTTTGTTTTTTTCCAGTACCAGGAATTGAACTCACGACCTTGTGCTTGCCAGGCAGGCGCTGTGCCGCTGAGCTAAATCCCCAGCCCCCTATTTTTGTCTTTTTGAGACAGGGTCTTGTTATGTAGTTCAGGCTGGTCTTGAGCTTACTTTGTAGCCCAGGCTTTCTTGAACTCACAAGGATCCTCCTGCCTCAGCCTCCTGAGTGCTGGGATCGCAGGCGTGTGCCACCATGCTTGGCCTCCTCTTTTTATTTTTATTTTTATTTTATTTTTTTTTTTTTTTTGGTTTTTCTCCGGTACCGGGAACCGAACTCACGACCTTGCGCTTGCCAGGCAGGCGCTTTGCCGCTGAGCTAAATCCCCAGCCCCCCTCCTCTTTTTATTTTTAATGTCAGTTTCTAGTATAGGGGTTTTTAAGTCAAGTGTGGTGGGGCACATTTATCATCCCACCACTGGGGAGGCTGAGGCAGGAAGACCTCCACAAGTTGGAGGCCAGCCTGGACTACATATGGAGACCCTGTTTCAAAAAGCAGAACAAAATAAAAAGTAGCATAGGGTTTCTGGAGTGTGAGGAGCAGCTCAGTCTATACCCTACACGGGCACAACCCCAGGGAATCATTTCCCCACCCCAGCATGGCTAACTGCTCAGCTCAGCGTCCTCACCACCTCCTCTGAGCCACAGTCTGTTCATGTCTTCGTCCCTCTTCTGGCCTCACAGCTGCAGGCTTCATGTCCTGTCCGTCTGGGGACACAAGCGACGTCCCCCTGGGCCTCCTGGCTGTTTCCTGACCACTTGCCAGTGGCCAGGACTGCCAGGGGCCGTGTCATGCGTTTTCCTGGCACTTCTGGGTGACTCTGTCGGCCCCCTGCTTCAGAGTCTGTACCATGGTACACCTCAGGGAATGTTTGTGTACCTGATTAATTGATGGATTGATTTGGGGGTTTTGTTTGTTTGCTTGCTTTTTTAAAAATCAGTTACATTTATTGGTACATTTTAGGTATGCATAATGATCACATTGGTCATGTCTGTTTGCTGTTTTGGGGTCTTGCTATATAGTCCAGACTGGCCTCGAATTCCTGGCAACCTTTCTACCCCAGTCTCCCCAGTGCTGGGATTGCTTGTAGGTGTATGTCACCTGCCTGGCCCATGCACCTTATTTATTTATTAACTTACTTACTTACTTATTTTGTTTTTTTAAAGACAAGGCCTCACTATCTAGTCCAGGCTGGCCTTGAACATGTGGCAGCCTTCCTGCCTCAGCCTCCCATGTGCTAGGATTACAGGTGTGCACCACCATGCCCAGCGTGCATATTATTTTAAATCTTAGGAAATTTCACAGGAACATGGACATTTCTAGCTTCCTGGGGTAGGGTGCATCTATAAACACAAAGATCTAGCCGCCAGGGCCCTGCTTGCCTGTCACAAACACACCCCGCCCCTCCCAGTCGTCACCATCCGCCCTCCTGTCATGGCCAAAGCATTGCCACTCCCCCTGCACCCCAGGGTCCCCAGCTTGGTGAGGCACCGCCGGTCCCCAGCAGGCGCTGTTCTGTTCTACAGTGCCCACAACGCAGGGTCCCGCCAAACCAGGCATCCGACCTGAGGACGCGGCTGTGGGCAAACGGGTGAATTATTAACCGGGCGGCGACGCTGGGACACCTGAACCGGCGGGACAGGGCCGAGCGCCATGGACACAGGTGGGGCTGCGGGACCGGGTGCAGTGAGGCGGGGGCCCTGAGCCGGGGACACTGAGACCCTCAGAGGGGACAGGGTGGCTGGGGCTCCGGGAGTGCAGGCGCTGCGTGGTGGGGGGATCTGGGGGCCTTGCAGCGCCCTCCCTGCCACGTCTGCCCTGGTTGCTTTGTTCGGCGGTGGCCAGGCTGGGTCCTCTGGGAGGGATGGGGGGCCCTCGGGAATGCAGATCAGGAGGGAGACAGAGCTCCCGCAGAGGGACCCTGGGGCCGGGCGGCAACTCCTGGCCTGGGCTCCCTGGGCTCCAGCCCCATCCCCGGAGTCCTGGCTTGGGGGACGCGGAGGGGAAAGAGAGGGGCAGAGTCTGGATGGCCCAACCCTGTCCTCCCTGGCCCGCCCGAGCGGGGGAGCCAGGTGAGTGTGCAGGTCCCACCTGCCCAGGGGTGGCCCAGCCCCCAGGATCCCCCAAACCAGCCCTGCCCCCTCCCCGGCCTCTCCTGGCCGCGGTGTCCTCAGGGCTCGGGTGTCGAGAACTCGAGAAGTGTAGATTCTCTTACCCACAGCTCTACCTCCCCGTCGGCCCAAGCCTTGCCCTGGGGGTCAGGGAAACTGCCAGTTTTGTTGTGGTAAATGGGCCGAAGGCTTGGTGTTCCCCTGGCGGCCTGGCCTCCTCCAGGGACCTGAGGCCTTGAGCCCCTGCTGGGAACCTCAGTTCCCTCTCTAAGATGGAGATCACAGAAACAGAAGTGGTTGGGCAGCGCACAGCCTATCATCCCAGCTGCTGGAAAAGCTGAGGCAGGAGGATCTCAAGTTCCAGGCTAGCCTGGATGATTTAGTGAGATTCTGCCTTAAATATTTAAAAAGGGCTGAGGGTGAGGCTCATTAATATAGCTTTTGCCTAGAGGAAACACAAGGGTCTGAGTTACACACACACACACACACACACACACACACACACACACGGGGCCCCTGGGAGATAACCTGAGATAACAAGCAGGCTCACACTGCAGGGTCTGGGGACTGGCAGCCTCTGCCCTGGGTGCTTCCTGTGTGGCCTATCCAGCAGCCTGTCCTTGAACTTGTGATGCTCCTGCCTCAGCCTCCTTGAGTGCTCTATGTGTGTGCCCCGTGCTGGCAGGGGACGGGCACATGACATAGGACCTCCACATGATATCAGGGCGTCCACATGATAATACAGGGGAAATATTAGCACTCCCAGCCTGCTACATGTCTGATACACTGAGTTTATGTTCCCCAAAATCAAAGAGTGAATTCTGAAGAACAGCGGAGGTTCAGAGTAGGAAATATTCTTTGAGAGACAGAGCTCATGAGGGGCAGGAGGGGGCCTGAATGGACACCACGGACCCTACTTTCCAGAGGACATTTTATAGAGCAAAATCACGAGGTGAGTGCTAACCTGGGATCAGCCAAGAAGAGCAAGTCTGCTGCTGAGGTTACGTCAGCCAGTGGGGAGGCCGCTCACGTAGCCAGTGTGCGTGGAGGACAGAGGCGCTTTGGGGAAGAGCTGAGTCAGGGGGTCCTGGTCACCCACGGAGGGGACTGATGTCTATCTAGGCGTTTTGGCCCAGGGGATACCAGTTACAGTCTATCGCTTATCCCTGGGGGAGGCGTGCAGGCCTGGTCCTGCCGTCTTTATCTTGAGGTCTGGCCTCCTGCAAATGGGCCTCTGGCCACAGCTGTGATCCGTCCTCGTCTTCTGCATTGAGTCCCTGGAGGGCCCGGGCCTGTCTGACTTCCTGGAATATTTCTACCTAACTGAGCTACCATACAAACACTTATTTAAAGTCCCCCCCCACCCTGGGTGTGGTGGCGCATGCCTAGAATCCCAGCACTTGGGAGGCTGAGGCAGGAGGATCAACACAAGTTTGAAACCAGCTTGGGCTACATAGTTTTGTTTAATGTTTTAACTTTGAGGTATAATCCAAGCCCACCAAACTGCACTTATTTAAAACATGTGTTCTGATCATTTGAAATGTGATGCACCCACGAAGCTGTCACTCTGTCAAGATGAACAGTGACATTCCTGAGAGTTTCTTTCTTTCTTTCTTTCTTTCTTTCTTTCTTTCTTTCTTTCTTTCTTTCTTTCTTTCTTTCTTTCTTTCTTTTTTTCTTTTTTGAGACAGGGTCTTGCTATGCAGTTCAGGCTGGCTTTGAGCTCACTGTGTAGCCCAGGCTGGCCTCGAACTTGCAAAGATCCTCCTGCCTCAGCCTCCTGAGTGCAGGGATTACAGACGTGCACCACTACACCCAGCTCCCTGAGAGTTTCTGGCCCTTTGGTAATTCCTCTCCACACCCGGCCCTGGGCAGCCGTTGCTCCTCTTTCCTCATGACAGACGGTTTCCTAGAACTTAATCTCAGCAGAGTTGGTTGGCAGTTGATTTCTATTTAATGGCTTCTTTTACCCAACATAATGCTTGTGAGATTTATCTGTGTTTTGTATCAAGTGTTCATTCCCTTTTTTTGCGGTACTTTGGGTGGAATCCAGGGCCTGTTCACTGAACAACATCCTCAGCCCTTTATTTAGTTTTTATTTTGAGACGGTGTCTCACCAAGTTGTTCACCCTGGGCCGCAACCGGTGATCCTCTTGCCTCTGCCTCCAGGAATGCCGGGTCACAGGTGTGCAGCCCTGCCCCCGGCTGAGATCATTCCCTTTCGTCGTGTGGTGTTTCTGTGGTTACCTGCAGCGAATCTTCACCTCCAAATCAAGTCGACGGTGGTTTTCCTCAGGGTTTCTGGCCAGGGAGCGGACTGTGGCGTAGCTGGTGCCGGGGGCCGAGGGCTCGACTCCTGGCTCACAGGCTGGCATCGGCAAATCTGGCTCCTGGGTTAGGGTGAGGAGGGCCTGGGTGTCACATACCAAGCCAGAGGCCGTCCTCGGGGTGCTCACGACTGCCACCTGCTTCTGTCTGGAGCTGCTGTTTTTGTTTTGCTTTTAATTCATTTTTGGTTTTTTGAGACAGGGTCTTGCTGTGTAGCCCAGGCTAGTCTCATGGTATGTTCCACTGTGCCCCATTTTAGAGTTCCTGTTTTTAAAATCTAAGCCAGGCCAGGTACTGAGGTGCAGGATCATCATCCCAGCACTCGGGAGGCTGAGGTGGGAGGATGGAGGCCCGTTCAAGGCCCTTTGGTCATGTTCTGTCCCTGAGTAAGTCACACAGGGAAGCCCACGTCCCAGGGGGCGCTGCCTTGAGCTCCAGTAGCAGGGCTGGGTCACAGGGCCACGCCCCTTACGTGGGGACAGCACGGAGATGCGCCTGCTCGATTTCAGGGACAGGCGCGCTGTCCCGAGGGCTGTCGTACATGGAGATGCTGCCACACTCGTGTGCAGAAGGCCCCGTGTGGGCGCGTGTTTCCTTTCTCTTGAGGGGAGAGCTGCGTTCTGTGGCAGGCCTGGCTGGTCTGTGTGTCTGTTTTGTAGTACTGGGTATTTAACATAGGGAGCGTTGAGTTATATCCCTAGCCCTTTTTTATTTTATTTTATTTTATTTTATTTTATTATTTTATTTTATTTTATTTTGTCTTTTTGAGACAGGGTCTCTCTATGCAGTTCAGGCTGGCCTTCAGCTCACTTTGTATCCCAGGCTGGTCTTGAACTTGCAACGATCCTCCTGCCTCATCCTCCCGAGTGCTGGGATTACAGGCGTGCGCCACCACGTCCAGCTAATTTTTTTTTTTTTTTCCCATTACCGGGATTTTTTTTTTTTTTTTTCCCATTACCGGGAATCAAACTCACGACCTTGCGCTTGCCAGGCAGGTGCTGTGCCGCTGAGCTAAATCCCCAGCCATCCCTAGCCCTTTAAAAAATTATTATTATTAATTATTACCATTATTATTATTATTATTATTTTTTATTTTGAGACTGGTCTCACTGTGTAGTCCAGGCTGGCCTCAGTCAGTCAGTTTTAAAATTTCAGTTGTAACGAACTTCAGTTCAAAACTTGCCTGTGGTCCTTTTTCAAATGCACTGGTTCTCTGCTGAGCAGCTGTCCCAGGCAGAGGTGGGTACAGTGAAGTCTCTTCTGATGTTGCCAACATCCGGGCACTTTTGGAGTGGGCTCTGCTGGGCCCTTCCTCGCTGAGTCTGGGCTGACCCTGGCCTGGGCCCTGGGTGTTGGGCGGTCTATGGCCCTGAAGACGCCAGCTTCGGTCACTGTGGCAGCAGGGGTCCAGCTGGCGCCGGACAACTTCGTGCCCCACCTCTGTGGCTGGCAGGTCGCATGACACCGTCTGGGGTGCCAGGCTGGGTTTGTCCCTATCAGGTGCAGCTCGCGGTGAGCCCAGGACCTGAGGGCTCCGCGTGGAGTGACAACTCAGGCGGGACCAGAACGTGACTTTGGGTGGTGAATCCGAGCCAGCCCCGGGCACACCGCGCTGCTCGGGTCCCTCGCAGGCCCCGGGGACCCCTCCACCGCCCTCGCGTCTCCACGGGCCGGCGCTCCTGCCGGCCACGTCGGCACGGCCACGGCC